CTACTTAGGGGGCCTATGGGTAGGCTGTATAGGGTCTAATTGAGGTTGCAGGTGCAGCCCAAACACTCCTATGAATGTGAACCCTGCAGTTGCTGCTTCCTCAAGAGCGAAAGTGTCGGCTCCTAAGTAGTTCTTTTTGTGATTACCTTAGAGGATTCTAAATATNNAACTACTTAGGGGCCTATGAGTACTTGTTCAATATGATAGATGACCCAACAGTTGACTTCTGGGATTATGTAATGATTATAGTTGATAGTACCCCCTCAAAAAAAACAAAATAATAACAAAAACAAATAACGGTTACCTAATCTCTACTACCCTAAACCCCGAAGCCCCATTCTGGTGCCCCAAAAGCCAAAGAAGATAAAGGTCACCTCCTCTGCTACTACCCTCAACCCTAAGTGCCCCAGAAAGGTCAAACGTTACCTACTCTACTCCTACCCTAAGTCCTAAATCCTAAACTCTATTCAGTCTCCCCCCCCCCCCAAAAAAAAAAAAAAAGAAGCACCTATTCTACTAATTACTAAGATGGCAACTCTGCAGTCCTCCTGCCCTGCCGGTGGCCCTGGAAAATCGCAGCGTACGCCCAGGACTTGGTAATGGTTCGGATGGCACCAGTCAGGCAGGGCACCTGCATATCTCATGTTTGGGGTCTTGTGTTGGGATCTTCTGTTCAGGGTTTAGCACAACTACACGACGTATTTTGTTTGTTGACCTGTTGCCTCCTTTCATTGGCTCACCTTCTAACGCCACTCATTAGTGTAGACTGCCCTAAACCCAAAACGCGATACAGTGCGGGCTTCATCTCGGAGGTTGAGTTCAGAGTTCAGCGTTGAGGGCTTTGACATGTACGGGGCCCTGAACTAGGTATGGGATACCTCAACCCCTTACCTAAAACTACAATAACCTGCTTTGTTGTAGGCTAACCCGATTGTAAGCCGATAAGCCCTAAACGGACATTTACAGGGAGCCTCCAAAAGAGAAGGTTCTGGTAGGTTACCGGTACACTCTACAAACCTTTAGGACTTGCAGGAATCCCGCCACCTTCGCCGCGCAGGAGGGAGCAAGGCTCGGCGTGAGGACGCTTCCCGACCTTGCGCCGGAGGTAGGTAAAATCATGGCCCGACACCTATAAAGAGCTATTGTTCTACATATTCGCCCATGGGTTCAGGTTGCAGGTGGTTGTAGGCTTAGTCGGCCTGGGAGTTTTTGAAAGACTCGACACCCCAAAACAAACAACACGCAACAACCCCTAAACCCTAAACGACGGTTGATGATATAAAT